AGCAAGGGCAGCAGGTCGAGGAAGGGGATTTTCCCTCTCTACTCCACTCTGGTGAGATCCCACCTGGAGTTCTGTGTCCGGTTCTGGGGTCCTTAGCACAGAAAGAACATGAACCTATTGGAGCCAGGAAAGGAAAGCCATGAAGATTACTAGAAGGATGGAACGCCTCTCCTAAGAGGAAAGGCTGACAGAATTGGAACTCTTCAGCCTGGAGAAGAGCTCTGTGGAGATCTTAGAGCAGCCTTCCAGTACCTAAAGGTGGCCTGTAAAAGAGATTTCCTTAAAGGGTGCTAAGATACCCCGTGCCTGGAAAGATTCAATGTCAGGTTGGTCAGGGCTCTGAGCAACCTGATGTAGAGGAAGCTGTCCCTGCTGTTTGCAGGGGTGTAGGACTAGATAACCTTTAAATGTCCCTTCCAACCCAGGCTACTCTGTGATTCTGTTATTGAATGATTCTTGTGGGTCCCTTCCACATCAGGACATTCTATGTTTCTGTGACTGATTGTATGAAAACTGGAAAGAACTTGTGGTCCTTACTTGAGCTTCAGCACCAGTGGCGGCATGCAGGATTTATACCTACAGTACATATTTGTGACATGAGTGTAAGCCGAGTTGTTCACTGTAAGAGGAATTTGGAAAGGTATTGCACATGTGTTAGACACACCAAATGCAGCCTCACAGGTGGCTGGGCTAGTTCAGGTTTCAGCCTTTTGAACAGCTATCATTTGACCGGTCTGCTGGTGTAAAGGTGAATTTCTCACCTACATCTTGAGAAGGCCTTCAGAGGTTAAAAAGGGAAATGGCATTTTATTTCAATAGGTATCAGCCATGCAGAGAGCACTGGTGCTGCACCGTAAGAGGAAATCGACTTCTGTGGCTGCAGAGAGATCATCAGTGGAGGAAAGTTCTGGCAGAGAGCAACAACCAAACAATGGAGTGGGGTTTAGGGTGGAGCACGAGCAGTCTGTGAGAAGGATGTCATATACCTGAGATACCTGCAGCAGCTCATTCCAGCTTAGCTACCTTGGAACAGGTTGTTCCCCTGAGGCCTCTTAGAGCTTAATCTAAACCAATGATAGGCTGAACTCATCATCAGCTGAAGTCAGGGGAAAGCTTCCTATTGGAATAAATGACATTGGGATCATGGATTTAGTAACCACTTAGCATGGACTGTTTAGCTCTCCTTCAAAACATATTTTCTTTCATTGTTTTTGCTACAGAGAATAAAACTGACATCTCCATTAACACCAAGAATAAACATTTTGTGGGAGATGCCATTCAGCTTTATTGGAAACCCCAAGGAAGCTTTTCAGGGGAAAGAAGTATGTTTTGTGTTTCTGTGGTTTCTGGTAAATACAAGATCAATGAAGTGAGCTGTGATGTTTGCTTTCACACTGAATGCAGCCAGGATGTGTTTTTCAGTATTTGGCTGACTACTGTAGATTTCACCCTCATATGTTTCACCTACAAATTTGCAGTGGTATTTTAAATCATAGTGTCTTTTGAATAGGCACAAAATGACTATTTTGATTAATTTGCAAAATAAGAAGTATAAAAATTTATGTTCTGTAAGCATCCAGAGAGAAATCTTCAATTATCTTTTTACTAATTTCATCCAGCACAGTGATTTCAGTCTTTTCCTGAAGAGCTCAAGAATATCTCTGTATATATCCTCCAATTACAAAATTTTCTGCTTAGCTAAAATCACACATGGAAATTTCAGACTTCCCAAAATAGCACTCTTAGAAAAAAATGTCCACTCAAGACTGGAGTTTTATAATGGCAATGCCTTCAAAACATCAGTGTCAGCCTTAGTTCTTCACAAAATGGAACATGGTTGATTGCTGGCTCTACAGGATCCCCATCTAACCCCATCTTTCAGGAATCAGTTCACAGTTCCTTCTTAACAAACCTGGATGATAGCTTTTTTTTTTCTTCCAAAGTGGAAAGATGTTACTGTGTGGATTTTTACTTGTGCTAATCATAAACTGATTTTAAGGGAAACACAGGAAAGGCAGACAGAGCCCTACATCACTGATTCTCATTTTTATTTATATCAGAAATCATGTTGACCTGGCTTTTGTCTAATTTTATTGAAAGGAATTTTCAAAGAATCAGTATTTATGTACTTAGCACTTTTTCAGAATTAGACCCATTTAATGGCCAGAAAAATCATTGAGCCATTAAAAACTGAACTGCAGAAATACTTCTCTCATATAAATCCCTATGCCTGAGGATATTGCTGATCTGCATTTTCAATGTAACAACACTTGGGTTTCATTCATGTCTTGTAACAAAGGAACATTAATTGAGAGGATCAAAAGCCTGCTTTCCAAAAGACATTTTTGTCACTGCTGACATGAATTTCCTCCATGTTTCTTGTTCCTGGGGTGTTAGAATATTCTGGCTAAATTAATGGTTTTGATTTTTTTTCCACTTTGAAGAAAATATTGACACTTTTTTTTTTTTTTTTTTTTTTTTTTTTAATAAGGCTTATCAGGTAAGGTCTAATATTAGTGTATATAAGACTGCTTATTAGAGTTCAGCTGACAGATGTGCTTGAAAGGCGCTGGCTCAAAAGACAGTTCAATTTGCTTGACCCTTCTGGCAGTACTAAACCTACTACACCTTCATTTGTGTACCAACATGGCAAAGATGTTGCTTAGTTTAGTTTGAGAGGCTCCTGGGCTTGAATCATTATATAGAAAATATACAAATAGGAATAATCAAACAGAATTGCCTATATGGAGACATAAAAGCCAGACTTTATGATTGTAAGAATGCTTACAGCAGTGTAACATGAAAAGGGTTTTCCTCACATTTGTTGTTACTGGGTTCAAGTACAGGTGAGTGTATTCCTGATTTAATCTTTGAGGTAAAAGCCATGCATGGCTTTCATGCAGGTGGACTCATCAGCAGTCCTGAATTCTGCTTGAGTTTCCGTGCCAAGTGCTGCTAGGGAGTTAATGAACTGGAGTCCAGTTACCTAGCACTCATTGATGAACTGGTGAGGTGGCAGTTTCTAGTCCCATAGGGGTGGCAGGGTAGGAGAGGAGCTTGTTGTTCCCCTGGCTCCTGTTGCTGGCCACACAGTGTGTATCCCTGTTATGCTGGACCAAAATTCCTCCCTCTGCTTTAACCTCCGCACTCCTGGACACCCCTTCTGCATAGGAATGACCAAATAACTTACGTTTGCATTTTCGTTCTGTAAGTCATTCCTCTTCTTTCTCTCTTACCTGAAGGGGTAGGTAATGAAAGACAAGATTAAGACACAGTTTAAGACAAAATAAGTTGAGGAATTCTTTTAAAAATTGAAGACTTCCAGCTGTGAAGGGGAATCCAAGGCCCTTCCCAGCAGGTAGGGATCCTTGCCAGCTCTTTGTACATCAGTGAAAGTGTGTCCTTCTAATGTAGGCCAATCTTGGAGCTTATCCTTTCTCTCCCAGCTGTCAGGATTTCCTAAATAACTTTTTGCATAATCCAGCCACAAGTATCAAGGAGAGGAGGGTCATGAGTCATCCAGGCTCTAACATAGGTACAAGGTTTATGACCTTCTTTGAAGGTTTCCTGTGCTTGTTCTTGTTTTCTTTCATTTCCTTCCCTATTTGTTTTGTGGCTTTCACCATACAAGCTCCATTTCTTCTCCCAGTAAAGTCTTTAGGTGTTTAGCATCCATTCCAATGGGACCAAGAATAAACTGGAATTGCAAAGTTGTTCATTTCAGCCTGCCCTTGCCGAGCTGATCCTGCCAAGTGTTTGCTTAATTTTTTAACAAGAAAAAAAAAAGTAAATGTATTTGGATAAAATTTGAACTGATTTGTTTTGCCAGAGGGAAATGGTTCATTTGGAGGCATCTCTTGGGAAAGCAAATAATTGCAAAGTTGGATTTCAAAATCATGAGTAAAGATACTGATGGTACCTGGATTTAATCCAGAAATTATTATTAAAGGTACACCAGGGGTATAGGAGACTCAGGTTCAGTTCTCTCAGCTTAGTATGAGAACTTGAGGCCGTGCCTCTGGCTTTCCAGACCTGCTACAAGCTTCTAGGGAACCCTAGAGAAAGAGTGTCCTCCTCTCAGACCCTCACATTCATTTGGTTTGGCTCCATATAAATGGTCATTTTTTACAGCAAGGCTCAGAAGGTAGGGATATCCTGGCTGGGTGAGTAAGCTGACCGTCATGCTAGAGAAAATCCATTTCTACTTCAATAACTATTCAGCTGCTTTATGTAGAACAGTTAGATCAGGAGAGTTTGAGAGAATCATGTCTCCACCCTGTGCTGCAACTTACTCAATACCTCCTTTGAAAAGATCAGTGTCTTCCAGGAGAGAGCCTGGTATTTCCCCCACAGGCTTGGGTTTGGATTACCCAGCAGCCTCATATGAGCATAGCTGTGCTCCAGCCACACAACCAAACCCTGGAGCAGGAGCTTATTCAGTGCTTCTGGGTTGTGTGCTGGGAGGGAGAAAGGCTGAGCAGCCTTCTCATGTTGATCTAGTACGTGGTGTGTCTCTAGCAAGGTTCAGTAACACCTTATATTTGTCATTGTTTCTCAGTACTTTCTGTAAATTTTTTTAACCCTGAGTATGAATCCTATTCTGATCAAGGTGGGTGTGCAGTTCACTGTTCATCGTGCATTATGTGTCCTCTCTCTATTTGGAGAGCCTACAGGAGATGAAATATTTTCTCGAAGACTTCAGTACAAAGGGAAACAAATACAAATAGCAAAAATGGGGAGGCTGTGTCTATATCATTGTCCTTTGCTAAATGCTACTCATGCCTTGGGCTGTAAAGGTTCAGTGAGGACAGTCCCTAACAGATTTTGTGTTAGAATCTGACTGTTGAATTATCCTGTAAGTGCCTCTTACCTTTCACTGAAATGTGGTCAAATAAATTACTTTTTGGCAGCAGATATGGGAAGTCACTGCCTGATTCTCACTCTCAGTCAAGTAGCTGTTTTGCTTTCCTTTATTCCATTTGTTTTATGTCCTTTTGCAGGGAAGGCTGCTTGTCCCCCATCAGCCCAGAGTCATGGCCCCTTGTGCAGTCTTTCATATGCCACAACCGAGTGCTCATCCTGGATGGCCACGTGCAGCTGAAGACGAGTCTGCAAACCCAGGAGCGACACCTTTTCCTCTTCACAGACCTTCTGGTTGTTGCCAAGTCCAAGTGAGTAAGGCCCCTCAGATGCTGCTCCTGCAGAGCAGACCTTTTCTTCAGTGGAACATAGCATGGATTTCCAGAATGCTTTTATAGTAGCAAATCGTCCCTAAATCATAAGGAAACATTTTATTTTGACCTCTCCAGGGACCTTTGAAAGCCTCATAGCCATGGAGGAATTTCAAGATGCAACATTTTATGGAAGTATCAGATGTTCTTTCATATATTTCTTGTTTTCTGTCATCTTCTCCACTTTGGGAGTGCAGTGTCACAAAAGACTCATTGGCACTCAGCTATGTCCAATGTGCTAACTTCAACTTCTTGTTTTAGACAGGTCATCTTCATCCTGTGGGGTTTGGATAACACCAGTGGTTGTGTTGTAGAGGGATTAGAGGTTTTAACCCTTACCTGGAAGCTTCTTTGATACACATCTGTATAAAAATAGAGATTGCAGGCGGCACTGCAGTGTCTGGCTCTGTAGGTTGTCCTGTGCCAGAAGGAAGGAGCATGGGGAAGGGGAAGCCATGCTGAGCAGTCTGGGTAGTGTTCATGTGTAATCAGGCTTGCTGTTGAGCTCTGATTATTCACTCTACCATTCACAATTAAATCACATTTACAAGCTGTGTCGAGCATGCCAGCTTCATGTGGCATTTGTGGTTTAAGGCAGTTTTAGAGGGTGCTTTCACTTGTTGTTATGGGTTATGGAGAAATAATAATAAAAAATCCTGATGTAGCTTCACTCTCTGTTAGGCACTGTGTTGTGGTTTCACAGGGTGGGCAGTCTCAACGTGAATCCTGGGCTTTCGCAACGTGTCATTTTGCTTAAGCAATTGTTTCAGGGGCTTCTGGGAAAAGCCAGAAGAAGTCTGTGTTTTCTGTAGAAATCTGAGCTGTGTCTGTTTGAATCACACATAGTAAACATAAGCCCCCCAGCTGAACTCCCTCACTTGATGTGGTGTGACAACACAGAGGATATTTTACACAAAACACGTTCCGCTGTGGGTGGGTGGAGAACATAAGGATGTTATGGGGAAATCTTAGTGTTCTACCAGCACCAGCAGTAGCAGCATTGTTACTGTATTGATTTTTGTCTGTTGCTGGTTTAGGGTGGAATTCACCTCACCTAATTTCAGCTGTACAGTGAAATACTTGCAACTTACATACGTTTCTGGGTTCCTCTTACAGTCACTGAGGCAAAACCAGCTCCCGACTGTGGCAAACTCACCTGTGCTGAGGGAGCATTGATAGTTGGGAGTCTCTCTCTCTGTCCACTGGCTATTCAGTGGGCATGGTCCCCTAGCTTAGCTCCTTAATTGTAGGGTAGTACAGTCAGGAGGGATAAAGCCCCCTTCCCTGGTCAGCCTGCTGAGCACAAGCTGTGTTAGAGCCCCTGAGCTGCACATTACTGCAGGTTTGGCTGGGTCCCAGTGGGACTATTTGCATAGGAAAGCACTAGTTGGTGTAACCGCACAAAAATCTGCTCCCCAGGGAGTAATAACAGCTCCTACAGCATGTGATTTAATGTGGTGAAGAGAAACAATGTTAAAAAAGGTGGAAGAGAACAATTTGTGCTTTTGCATGTGAAAAAGAGGGGGGGAGCAAGTCTTTGCTAGGAATGGTAAAAATAGTATTTTGAGTGATTTTACTTCATGTATTTTGAAGAACTAATTGGGATGTTCTCTCTACAGCTGCCCTGTCAGCAATTAAAGCATCAGAGCTGTCAATAATGAATGCTACTTAAAAATCAGCATTTTTAAAGCTGTCTCACACTAAAGTGCCAATGCTGATTTCTAGAAGGAAAACCCAAGTGTGTATTTTGCTATGTGGCCGTGACTCTTGACTGCCATTGACTTTTTAATAGCTGGTACAGAATCAAAGCAATAAGACCAGCACAGAATTAGTGATACTGTTGAATCTGACTTAACTTCAGAATTATTCCTTGTGAATAATTCTGTCTTAAGTAGTTTTTCAGCTTGGGGCATATGAACCCCTAAGGTATCTTTGGTCCATCTGGGCCCATTTGGGTGGGAGCTCAGCTGCAGGTGACCAGTCACTGCACAAATGGAGCTCATGTACAGTCAGGCTTTGGATGGCCAGCAAATGGGGACAAGTTTTTGCTAAAGAGAACAAGTATCTTGTGTCCTCTGAGCTTGCTGAGTAAACTGCTTGTACAGGACTGAGCTCCTGCTTAAAGGCAACAAATTGGCATTGCTCCCATTGGAATTTGTCCATAACTGGTCCATATATGACTTTGGACAAGGGACCTGTGGGTTCATTTTTTTGCTGCTTTCTAATAATATCTGAAATACAAACTACTACGGTTTCCTATGATGCATTAGACTAGTTTATAAAAAATAATAATGATACTTACATGCTGTGCTCCTCTGCTGTCCTGTCCGTCACTACCTTCATGTGAGGGTTAAGTCACAAATGAAAGAGTTTTTCTAACTAAACCAAAGTCAAGTATGTAAAATGTTATACTCTTTTCTATATATTGATTAGATTTCTTACAGAGAGTGTATGTCTTTATTTGTCAGAGTAAATATTACAAGGATCTGTTAGTTCAGTGATGAAGGTGTCTCACATGTGTTTTTGTGTGAGAGACACAGAGAAATTGTTTCCTTTTTCTCCTTTGTGATGTGCACCTGCATACATATCCGTGCCTTTTAAGGGTATTTTCCTGAAGTGGCTGGACATAGAAATGAATGGCTGAGTTCATACATGGAATTATGGCAGCAATCTCACAGTAGATCCATAAATGCTTTTGTCAGAGAATTCAGTTAAGGAGATTAGCAAATCTGGAGAGAAATTAATCTCCCATCTGTTATCGGCTGCAAGGAATCCAATTGTAAGCAAAGGGAACTGTGTGTACTCTGCAGAGGTGGCATAACTTGGGGTGTGCCAGCATCTACAGCACTGGTCTTCATGATCGTTGTGTTGATTTCAGTTGATTTGGAATCTGCCTGATATTCACAGTAACATTTGCTAGGGGACTTCCTTAAAAAATATACAATACTCATTAAATTGTTACTGTACCCATTTTTAAAATATTCTGTCATGTTGCTTCCTTAGTCAGCAATATATTAATTTCTAAAGGTAATACTTTGGCATTTCAATAGAAGACACATGTTTCACAAATGCTAAGAAGCCATGGATTGCATAAAGGACATGGCAAATAGGGATAAAATTATACTTCAGGCTCTTTAGATGTTAATGGAGGCTACTGTTTCAGCACCTCTGGAAACCAGGCCACTTGAATACTGATAATAGCTGAAAGCTGTGACTAGGCATGGCAAACAGGGAAAAATATACATCAAGCATGACTGGAGAACATCCTTGTGTTTCTGCCAACACCCTGCTGACACTGCTACTGGCACTGTAGGGATCTGGCGTTATGGACTGTAAATATTAAAAAATGAAACAGCATGTAGAGTGTTCAGTGTACTGGGTAATGGCAAAAAGAAGTTGAGGAGAAAGGGAGGGTCAGCAGATTGATTTGGTGGTGGAGTCAGACCAGACATCCATTTATTAACATCTACATTAGAATTCACAGCTGTATTTTTTTGTAAATCTACATTTTCACAATTAATTCAGTGGTCAGCCAGAATACAGTTATTGTTGTACTATTGACAGACCTTACTTGTTGCATCATAAACTCATTTGCTAACAAGCATGTTGAAAGGTGCTCCTTTTCTTTAAGTTTCTCTTTAATTGGGTAGCAAAATGTAATAAAGAGAGGTGAAATGTTCAGCTGATCAGGAGACACCATAGCCTTAGGTTTGATAAATATTGATGGTTCTTTGTTGACCTTCCTCTGAATGTGCTGCTCTGTCCCACCACACCTGTTAGCACAGTGTCAGCTGGAAAACTCAGACCAGCCAGGTTCATCTCTGTCCTCTTTAAAGCCAAAAGGGTCTGGTGCTTTCATGTTTCAGGCTGTGATAGTTCTGTCTGTCCCAAATCAAATACCTTGTAAACGAGGCTAATCTCAGAGAAGGTAGTCCATGTGTGCCAAAGCCCTAAGAAACTGCTCACCTGACACATTTATTTATAGAGCACTAATCACTGTGGTGCCCAGCACTGTCCCCATCCACATTTGCAATGCAGTGGTGAGCTGATGTGCTCTTGGTTTCAGGGAGGTTTCTCCTCCAGCCTTTCCCTGCTGGCCCAGGAGAACCATAGCTCAGGTAATTCTGCAGGACTTGCAGTGAGTGGCTCTAGCAGTGCTACAGAGCTGGATTGGCTTTGGGAGTTTTACCTGTGTCTCATGCAGCACTAGCACTTGCTACTCCTACAAAGGAAGGACACTTATAAAGAGAAATCTATTGGAAGAGTTGAAGTTAAAATGTGAAATTCTGTAAATTTGACCTTTACTCAATTGTTTAGTTGCATAAAACATAGGAAGGGCCACGTTTTTAAAAAATGGGAAGATTATGTCTCTTCCTTGTACATGAGTAAATGTTTTGAGAATGCACAAGGTCATGGCTCATTCTCCAGGTGATATGTTCCTAAAGCTACCATGTAGGAAGTTTGTGAGGGCTGCGTGGTGACCTGTGCTATAGTTAACACAAATAGCATTTTTCTGCTTGTTTTTTCTTCAGGTTTGCTTCATTTGCCCTGGCCTAGTTGTCACTACTTAGACTCATCATCATTTTTGACCTTGAGACTAAGCAATAGCATTGTATTGTAACTCCTCAATGGCATTAAAGTCACTGAAAGCAGAGTCAAATACAAGTGGCAACCTTTGCCTCATAGCAAGATTTGGAGGGCAACTCTAGACATGGACAGCTTTCCCCCAAGAAGGGGGATGTCCAGGGATGCCAGAAGCAATCTGTTTATCCCATAAATAAGAGATTTGTTGATCCCATTGAAATGAAAAATTGGTATGTTTTTATATGCAACCCAATAAAACATTTTCTTTAACTGAAGCAGAAGTACTTCTTCTATCAGCTCCAGTGCAAGCCTCATATGTGCCTGAAGGAGGAAAAACGCTAGTTGTTTAACCTGCTGTCTGTGTTTTCATGTGTGTGACACATCTGTGAATTTCCACCTGCAGGTCACACTCTCATTTCAAGCTGAAGTGCCAAGCACGTCTCTGTGAGATGTGGACAGCATTTTGTACAGAAGAAGTGTGTGAAGGCAGCACAGACCCAGACAGGTCCTTTGTTTTGGGCTGGCCCACCACAAACTGTGTGGCAAACTTCAGGTAAGAGTTGAGATAGATTTTATTTAACAAGTTATGTAGATGTTTCTAGGCTGGCAGGTCATGAGACTATCACAGATTCATTTCAGCACCAGTGAATATGGGGAGCAGGAACTTACTGATTCTCAAACCAATTCCTTCTACTGCTCTGAGCGAGCTGCCCTCCATACCTCATCTTCCATCTCACTTATCATTTTAAAATTTGAGAAAATACATAATTTGAGAAAGCACTTTCTGTGCTACAAACTTGCTCAGTGGAAATTACCTTTTTTTGCTATTACTCAGCAAATACCTTGGCTAATTAATAAGATTAACTACAAATATTAAACAGCCAAGCTAATGAAAGGATCAAAGACACTCTTGTATGACAATTTTAAACAGAAGGCCATGTATTGGAAGTAGCAGAAAACTTACAGTGAAATAATAACCTTTGTCCTATTTCTCTTTTTTGATTTAATTGTGCCAGAGAAAATGTCAAAATTCCTCTTAAAGCAGAATCTCTGAATGTTAATATCAAGAAAAAAAATTTGGCTGTCTTTGCAGCATTGACTGTAAGACACATAAGGGCTGTAGAGGTAATTTCAGTGATTAGGATAATTTTAGTCTCAGCAGGAGGGCTCTTTCATTGCTTTGGATGAGGGGAGGGCACCATCCCCCTGAAATCCCAGCTGCTTTGCCTGAGTCTCAGGAATTACATTTTCTTCTTTATCAACACAGAGCAAAAGCTGGAGTATCTGGCTTAATTTCTATGTCCCATTGTCCATACCTAAGGACAATGTTGTCTACAAATTGCACTCTCCTGAGCTGGTTGTGCTATTTGTTTTTTACACATAATAGTTCTGAAGCAGAGATGAAATTTTCTGTTGATTTTCAATTGAAGTCTTGCCAGAATTTCAGGAGCTCTGCTCTAAAGACGGTATGTGATCCTTTATAGATTACTGAAAGTAGTTGAATAAGAAAGCAATAGCTTCAGTCAAAAACAGCTAGAGATTTACAGAAATGAAATTATTTGATGTCTGGTACAAAGAAAAATCTAAAGGGCCATAGATGGGAGTGCATAGATGTCTGTCCAGGAGAACTGAAACAACCAAATCAGAATAATTTTTTTAACATTATAAAGTGCATTTCCCTCACAGCATCATTGAGTAGGTTTGTAGTTCCCTAAATGCCTGCTGTGTAAATTTGAAAAACTAGATTTGCAAAAGCAGCAATGGAAATAGCAGTTACATTTGGGCTAGGATTTAAATCAAGAAAGTTGGAGCAAAATTAGGTTAGATTCCTTGAACTGTCATATTATTAGCTATATTTTACTGGACTGCTTTTTATCCTTCCTAGTATACACATGAGATAAAGAGAAATGAGATAAGCCTCAAAATGTCCAAAGTTAAACCCTACTAAGTACAGTGGGCTTTTATGTACTTTGTGATGTGCTGATAAAACAAGTAATAAATAGGAATTAGAGTGGAAAGAAATCTGTGTACCTGAGGAAATACCTTTAAACTTTTGAATTAAGCTTTTTTTTTTAAAGTGCCCTCCTCTTCTATTTGGACATTACTTTCAGAGTTCAACACATTTCCTACGAAATTCACTGGTGAAGCTTTACCTTCTGTGGCAAAAATGGTAACTGGGGCTTTGGATCTCCCTGGCAGGCTTCTCAGCTGACTTTGCAGGGAAGCAGACTTTTCATTCAAATCTGGGTAAACCTTTTAGTTTTTGTAGGTATTTATGAAATTGCAATCAAGAGAAGGTGCATTCCATTGTTGTTTGTAGAAGGACTGTTTTGGTTTTAAAATGAAGGCTGATTTGTCCTGTTTTTCCTTTAATTCTTTCAGGTCTGCAGAACAAAAGGAAACATGGCTGTCTGTTTTGCAAAGGTACTTTATTATATGGTCTCTAAAGACACTGGAAAGAGTCCTGGTCTAGACCAGTGATTCCCAAGCTGTGGTGCTTATGCCATCATGATAGATAATATTAAGAAAAATAAAATTTCAAATATTAAGAAAAAAAATTTGCATGTCTCCTCCCTCAGAAGATGTTGTGTGTGCTTTCTGCAACAATCCCTGTGCAAGGAGGGAATTGCTTCTCTGTGCTCAGCAGAAAACTGCAGCAATTCCTATCACACATTGTTCCTTCCCAACACAGCAGCAGGAGCCTCTGCCACCTCAAATTGAGGTGGAGCTCTTGTTGAGCTCCACCTCATGGCTCAAGTTGAGCCTGGAACTCTTTCCATGGTGGTGGAATTCAGGCAAGCCCAGCTCAGAAACCTCTGCTCTAACCTCTCTGCTGCTCAAGGCTGGCTGTATTTTGTTCTGAAAAAACATGCCCAGTGCTGGAGGGTTCTGTTTTCTGGTTGCCCAGTTCTTCTGGTTGAGGCTTTTGTCTTTACCTGCTTCTTCAGAGTAGCTGGGTTGTTTCATCCTTGCTGGGATGATTTCCAGTTCACTGTTCTCCTGTTCAGTCCTTGGAACTAGTCTGCACTGATGGAACTGATTCCAGTAGGAGTCTGTAGTGCAGACTCAGGCATCACAATGATGGGTAGTTTTAGCTTGATTTTTTCCCATTTCTTTCTCTGCTGCTTACTCTGATTTCTGCAGTGAACTTCAGTGCAAGAGGGCATTAGGGGGGGCCACAGTCAGCCTCCCTTCCAGACACTGCTGGGTGCGCTCTTGTCCTCAGAGATCTTTCTACTGCAGCACATCTGCAAACCATCTCCTTCTTACCAAGTTACTGCTTGATTGCTGTATAAACTATGTCTTGCTATTTATGTGTGCAATATTAAAAATTGACTTGTTTTGTTCTTGTTTTGTCAGTCGGATAAGAGAAGAGAAGGAAAAGGACAATCCTAAAAGCATCCGCCTGACAATAATTGCAAAGGACGTGGGGACTTGTGCATATGTAAGTGTTCTTGAGCTAAACTGGGCTCCAAATCTACATCACCTAGCAGTGCTAGTCACCTGCAAATCCTTTGGATATTGAGAGGTTTCCTTTGGTTTGCTATCTCCTTTAAGGATTCAACCCCTCGAAAAGTCTTGGCATAGACAGCCCTGTTTGTTCCCTATCTTTAATACACAATTTCTGTTTTAAGGCAGTGTGCTTGGTAAGAAATACTGGTTCTGGCAAATGAGCTAAAGACGAGAGTGTGAAGTCCCAAGAAACACCTCTAGTAGAATTTATGCATAAGCATCTCCAGAAATGTCAGTTACAGTTGTTATATTGTTTATAATAATCTTAAGTCAGTAAATCAGTGTATAAGAGCACCCTGAAATTGCCTTAAGCATGTTAATCATCAAATAATAGATTTTGGTGGATTTCTAGGCAAAGAGTAGATAGTAAAGGAAGGCCACCCATAATATGATTTGTACCTTTTCGACTATATAATTTTTAACCAATTTAAGCTAAATTCTTGTATGTAGCCAGTTCCATAGAGATACTCTAGCATTCAGTGATAGTCAAACCATTCTTCCTCTGCTTTTTATCATTTCTTTCTAACTGTGCTTGTGGCATCTGTATTTCAAGCTCAGAATCCTAAGGAGCATGGACAAGGGCATAAGAAATTTTCACAGAAGTTAGATTTCACTGTAAGTCTTTGCTCAAAAATGACTCTCCACTTAGAACTCTATATTTGCATAGACGTAAGCATAAAGGAGTCTGCCTTTTTCTATTTTTTTCCCCCAGAAAATCATCATTAAGGTAAACAATGACAGAATTGCCAGGTTGCTAAGACAAAAGTTAATAAGCAATACTAATAATTGTGACAGTTCAAATGCAGGACTGCAGATCAAGGTCTGCTCAGGTGTAAAAGTCTATAAATCATACATACACTCTGGTGTTGCAGTCTTGTGCCAGGGTTTGTTGGGGCTTTCTGCAGTGTCTTTTCTCCTTAGCTATAATTAGCTCTTGTGCCATATATGGTCCCTTGACACCGACAGTCCTAGGAACAACACTCTGTAGTCTAGATATTATCAGCAATAAAACAGTAGAGGAGCAGATGGAAATTTTGTGATGCACATAGTTCTTATGGTGCTGTGGTTCCTGTGCTACAGCAGCTGGAGACACCCAAGAATTATTGCATTTTTGGACAGTAGGGAAGGCTGAACATAAGGCACAAACTGTATTCTAGCCAAGAGCAAAACTTATGCAAATGTGCTGACCTACTCCTGAGAGCCAGATGTCATTGCTTCAGGCAAATGTTAAATTTTTTATGGTATGAGCATTCAGATCTGTCCTGAAGCAAGATACACAGTATTCTCACTACTTTCCTTTCATTGCAGTGGCAGCTTGTTACTGCCAGGGTCTTACACAAAGGTACAGCTTAGATATTTTTAAAATGCAAACTGTCAGGGGTTTGTTTCACCTGAACATCTTATGGCCAGCATAAAAGTGATGTGCTACAGGGTATTGCAGACTCTCTTGGGACTGGCAGTAAACATCTACATCCTAGCTCTGCTGCCTTCTGTTCTTTAAGGTGGGCCTGTGTGGTTTGTTGCAGTGGGTTTGCCTTGCAGTGGGTTCTGTCAAGGCTTTAGTCCAGCCATGAAGCAGCTGCAATACACAAGCTGTGTGGTCCTGGTGGCAGAGCCAAGCCAGCCTCTAACAGGGGCTCAGTGACCTGTGCCTGGTGTGTGGGAGCTGGCTGGGAGGCCAGGCCAGCGTGGGTGTGGTGCTGCAAGCATTGGAACAGCCCGTGGAGTGAGGCACAGAGCACTGCCCTGCAGGACAGGAGCCATGCTGGTGCCAGGCCGCAGGTGCTGAAATCTCCCTCTGGAAGGACAGCTGTAGGAAGTGGCACTTGGGCTGACACAGAGCTTGGCACTTTGTACTGGTCACTGTAACTGGTTAGAAAGTGGGGTCTTTGCTGCTCTGTGCTTTTCCAAACTGCCTATCTGCAGATTCTGGAGGATGCTGGAAAGGTCTTGTTTTAACTGGATGGAACATTACCAAGAGGAAGTGCTTCTGGTACTAAGCCAAATCTAGCTTTGAGAAATCTATATAGAATGTGGGAAAGGTTATGGGGATGAACAGCCTGTGTACAATTCTTTCTTACCACAGAGATCTTCAGTTGAAAAGGACAGAAATTAACAATTGGTATTTCACTGAAAAAAACTCCCTGAAATGTTTCATTGAAACTTCCATGCTTTTAAATTAATCAAACCATTATTCTTCCCTTATGCAGTGTCTAAAAGTGCTGTTAGTGGTTCTGACTTCTTGCATATTTTAATGTGGAAGTCATGTCCCAGTAATTGTAATACTCTCTTCTGATTGAGCTGTTGGGGAAGCAGGAAGCAAATATGGAAAGTGTGTGACAAAGCAGAGGAATCAAACCTTGGTTTCAGACAGCTGGACCTTTTTCTATGTAGTATAATTTATTTATCAAGTAAAATTTTAACAGGATATTCTCATTTTTTCTAACAATGAATTATGCAGAGCTACTGCACTACTCAGATACTCTTTGCAAATCCAGAATTTTAATGCCATTTTCCCCTTCTCTTTTTTTCTGCTCACAGTCAAAAACCCTAAATGTAACCAATGTTGATACAGCAAATGATGTCATTCTGATGGCCTTGCAGCAGCTGGGAATTAATGTAAGTCCTTGCACCAATTTTAATGAGTCTTTCATTGTAGTTACTTTTAACAATCAGATCTTCCCTTGCACTTTTTCCAAGTTTTAAGATATGAACATTAATGAAATCCTTTAACATAGTAGTCCAGAGTTGTTGAAATGCAGCAGAAGTGCCTTGTTAACATACAGACCTCCAGAGATTATCAAGTGCCTTAAAATTTTTGAGTGAGCCTCTCATCCCTGTAAGGGAGCAGTCATGTTTCAAGTTACTTTTAAATCAAGTTGCTTTTGCTGATGCCTAAGAGGAGATACCTTGGCACGAGGAGTGAGAGTTTGATAGAGTCCTTTTGCATGCTTCAGTGTGAGCAAGAAGCCTGCTGGTCTGCCTGTTAGCTGGTTTCAGAGTGTGCAGACATGCATGATCAGCTGTGTCCCCAGATTGCACTGCTCCCAAGTGTCCCAGTCAGGTACTCTGAATATCCATGGACCTTTGGAGTTATGTGATACATGAATGTAACTAAGTGATTGCGTGGAATCTGAATGCACCCAATTTAAACAGTGTCCTGAAACTGTTTTGGAAAAAGGCTTTTACAGAACTTACAATAATGCAGGGTAGTGTACCAGATAGATGCAGTGATCCCTGCTAGATCAAGTCCTGCCTCAGCTGGCTTCCTTTGCCCTAACCCAGACTACGTAGTGCCTCAGGTGTGGTAGAGGATCGGTGCCAGGGACAAGAATTCTGGCTTCTCACTCTGTTTCACAGCATGGCTCCAACCAGTACCAGTGATCATCATACAGAAGCTCCTGGTGACAGCTTTTTAGCTGGTCTATCAGCTTGCTGTTTGGGTAACAGGATTTTTTAAAATGTTTTACTCAGGATGCATACATTCATCTCATTGCATGGAATCTGACAAGTCTTTCCTTACCACAGCCCTGAATGTGAAGAGTCAAATATGATGAGCAAAATGCCACTGTTATGCTTCCCTGGGGCTTCTGGAGACTCACAGCAAAAGTTGGAGTAACCTCAGGATTTGCCTTCCCCAGCATCCATTATCCATCATTTACACAGACTTTTAATGCAGGAGTCTATTCTGCTGGCTTGGCATTTCCCAGGCACAGCAATTTGTGTCTGCCCATCTTGTTACTGCTCAGACATCTCATTTACATCAGGGCTGGGACCCTGGCTCAGAATCCAGTAGTCCATTTAATTAAGGAATCTCTGGAGTCGACAGAGGGATTGCAAGGTGAAAAGGATAAAAGGTGAATTAAAATTAGGATTTTAATTGCAGATTGTCTCCCCTGCTCTGCACCAAAAATCAGGAGACTGAGTGCTATTACAGCTGCAAGTCTTTATTGTGATGTGCTTCATTTTTACCCATTTTATGGGTGTCATTTGCACTTCCTCACTTTGTGTACAGAAAAACCAGGAAAATGGTAATATTTAAAGAGAATACTTGGAGATTAGCAGGACAAGGAGCTCATTGGGTTTCAGCATTGTGTTCTTTTGTATGTATCACAATCAACCTTTTCCTCCTCTTTACGTTTTTATTTCAAGTAGAAAAAGAATGAAAGCCATATGAAAGATGTAAAACCTTGCCTGCAGAATTATTTGCCCAGCTAATATACTACATTTTTTTACTGCTTCTTTATAGCAGAAAGCTTTTTTTTTTCATTAGAGGCGTATCATAAGATTAGCAATAAAATCAAACAAGCTAAATAAATTAAGCTCTAGCCTGCATATCAATCAAATACCCAGCCCCCTGGTAGGATTGTTCTGGCTGTAAGGACGCTCTGCCTTACGTGCTGTATCAAGGTTTTTTATTTCTGTCCACAGAGAACCACTTGAAAGGAGCTCCATGACTTTTCAATGGCACTTATAAAAACTACATTTCACATATTGTGTGATTAATGGGGCTATTATTTTGGCTGAGTTCACTCTGGTTTAACACATCAGGGTTTTTTCCTCTGTGGTTTCTCTGGTGAAATGACAGCTAGCTCGTGCAAAATGGCATTGATCATCTGCTCCAAATTATCAAGTGGGGCAGAAGGAAGGGCCTTGGGTTTCTCAGCTTTGTAAGTACGCTTGCTGACTTTTCTGGGACAGTCACATTTATCCTGACAAATGGCCTCATAAAGCCATAAAGGACAGGATTTGCAGTCAGAGATGAGCAGTCTGCCTCCTGCAACCACGCTTAACTGGCCCTTCCCTTCCCTGCTTCCCCTTCACAGCAACGAACCCTTTCATATATGTCTGTGAAAGGAAAAGCAAATACCCTTTCTTGTGCTCTTCAGCTGTATTTATTTGCTCCTGGCTGCTTGCCCCAAGGCATCAGGGATGTCTCCAAAGCCTATTTATTTTCCTTCTGCCCCCTGCTAGCTGACTTAACAGCAGTGCTAATATGGGCCAGAGAGCTCTGTCAGTCAGGGAGCAAAGTGCAGATGCTTTGTTGGGTGTATCAGCATTACATCAGGTGCATGCAGCAAGTAGGAAGAGTCTCAAAAGCCATAGGAACACTGGGTGAAGGTCCAGAAAATGCAGGGTAGTAGGCAAGTCTGTTTGAAAGGAGATAGGAATTAACTTTGGATCTAAGTAAATGCTGTCATGAGGTATTTATTGCTTTTTATACCAGAAAACTTTTATATTTTGAACTATTCTGATTTAGATTCTGATCCCTCACCAAAAAGGGATTTAAGGTAAAATAGATCACTTTTAATGCAGTGTATTTATCCACTTCTTCTTTGGTACATTTATGCTAAAGGCAATATTTTGAATTTGCTTTAACTTGATTTGATTTAAATGAGAGGTTTTCACAGCTTTTCCCAAAAAGATCACGTTCCCCAGTCTTTTGAAAATTGTCTCTTTTGATGTAAATTTATCCTCTCTGCTGTACACTTTAAAAGAGGGCTCAGTAGTCTTAAAACACCATCCAGCAGTCCCAAGCCCTTCCACACAAAAGGGCTGCACAAAAAGGCTGACAGCGCCCTACAACAAGATTTTGGGGCAGCACTGAGTGCCAGGAGCCTGGGGCTGCCATCCTTGCCTTGGCATCATTAGGGTGGGCTCAGGTGGAGGTGCTCCTGCCCTGTGCTCCGGTGTCAGTCACAGGATGCTCTCGGCTCACCAGCCTGAGCTCCTCCTGCTTAGAGATGTGGAAAAGCTGTGGAGAGGGTGGAGCAGAGTAGTGAGGGGGGTCTGACATGCATCCCTCTGCTGCCAGGAGGCACTGCAGTCTGAGGGAAAGAACTGGGGGCAAATCTCCCCCTTTTTCTTCAGAGATGATGGGCTCCAGCACCTCTCACTGCTCAGAGCTGAGCCCAGGTCACATAAACCACATTGCACATGACAGACACAGTGCAGGAATTTTGCTGGTGGGAGGCTTGGGCACTGCAAAAGTAAAGGGGATTCCTTTGACCCTGCTGGCAAGGTGCAGATTATCCTTATATTGTGAGAAACTTTATCTGAGAACCTGTCCTTAATGGCTGACAAACTGATTCTTAATTTTGGTTTTAAAGGGCTCTGAAAAAGACTACAAGCTATGGGTGATTTCAGGAAGAGAACATGCTCCTTACCCTCTTATTGGTAAGTTGTTGACATTGTTTTGTTTTTCAATATTCACTCAGTTACTACTGCTGTAGGAAGCAAGAAATAGAGAGAAGACTGAAGTTCAGCTTCCTCTTTTGCTTTGTTTTTCCTGTTTTTTCTCTTACTTCCCTATCACATGAGTTTGCCTCTCTGGAGTTAGGGAAATGGTGATCTTTTGTTTTGAAGAGCAGATGTCTGCTTGTGTCACTAAGAGGTTGAAGAAGTTCATTTATTTCTGCCCCAGTTTTGCTGCATGAGCCCCAGGGTTTCTGCAGAGTTGGCCTCTCCAGTCACCTCCTCTTCTGGAGGTTGTCCAGCTTTCCCATATTTCTTCCTGCACCTCCATAGCATTCTCCCCTCCTCAGCAAAACTCAGCAGAATTTTGAGAAATTATCTTTCCTTCCACAACTCAAGTTAACTGATTCAATCCTTTCCAATCCTGTATTTCTCATTTTAGCTGACAGCTCCCCTCTGATTAGGAGCAAATTAGTGCTTATTAATTTCTAAAATGCATTTCAAAACATTTCAGGACCAGGAATCAACACAAATCTCAGAAGTGATTGGATGGAGTGATTTTATTTTGGCCCATGATTCACTGAGAACAAATCCCTTTCCATTACTAAGAACATTTTCCTTTAGAAGCCCGGCATTACTTGTGCTGCATGAGTTTGCAGATGATTAGAACAAGAAAAACTTGTGGATTTTCTATTTTTTTCTCCTGCACATCTAATCCCAGTAAATCTTAGCATTCCTTCTCAAAGTAACCTTAGCTACAAATGCTTCACTGGAGTCAGACAACATTAATATTTATAAAATGTCTAACTTGTGCACCTTACAGAGAGTGCAAATTGTTTTGCCTTTGAAACATACCAGACTTTGGGTTTCTGACCATTATTGTGTATATTCTTCAGATCAAATCACATCCATGGCTTTAAACATAAAACCAGAGAATTCAGAAATGGAAAAGGCCTTTCTAATTGACTGACTCTCACTGCAAATTCAAGTTGCAATCCTTGGAAAAGAAGAATCTGACATGAAAGTGATGCTTTTCTTGATACTTATTCAAAAGTTTATTAGATAAGGCAAACTTTTATTACAGGTGCACGTCAGAAGCAGAGTTTGCCTGTGCAGTAGCTTTATACTGTAATCTCAAATAACACCTCTTCCATTCTCTTAGTGTTCAAGTCTAACTGCAAGCTAACTAAAACATCTTAGCATTGCATCCACATTTCATATATTTAATCCACCAGGTCTTTAGACAAGTTGGAAAAGCATCTTTCCGGTGGCATTTGTGAAAGCTCCTCCAGAAATGAATTGCCTCTGTGTAGTCCCCAAAGATGCTGGTTAAGCCAACAGAGCTCATTTGCATCAGCCCTGTGATTAACGTTTCCTTCCTGTTTCAGCCTCACACAGGAACCATAATTGTGTCTCATTTGACTGAGCTGATGGCTGTTGGACTTAACATGCTAAGGGAGGGAAGATCACTTCCATACTGGAATTTTTTGGTTTTGCATGCTTAGCAGAAATTTGACAGGTCTGATCCCAAAATCTCATTTCCCTCCAGAATAATGTGAGCAAGCAGTACCTAACTTACAGTGCCACAATAAAAGCAGTAGAAAGAATAAACGCTGAACTCAGAAATAGTCACTTTTATTTTTTTTTTTTTGACAGGCTTTTTATGTGATACAGCTGTAATAGATCCGATTTTACTTTTACATCTGTTTAACTACACCAAACACGGTAACTCCCTATCTGCCAGTGTATGATTTATGCCCATGCAAATATGGAGAAAAGCAACAATTCTTAGATTACTGAGAACGTGCTGCCGGCCAACAAGCCAAATCTGCTTTTCCTCCAGGGCAGATGGAGTTTTGCAAGTCTCCAGTCAATCCAACAGAGATGATTTCTATTTCTCTTTGAACAGGCCACGAGTATCCCTTTGGAATCACAATGAGCCACATTCGTGACGCCATGCCCCACGGATCAAAGCCCTGTGCCTGCCCCAGGCAGCTCCAGGGCCCTTTCCTGCCAGAGCAGCTGCCCCAGGAGCTGCAGTGCCAGTTTGTGCTGAAGCCCAGCCAGGTGGCTGTGTGCCAGCAGCTGAACGGTACGTTGTCCCCTCAGCCCAGCTCTGTCCCCACACACAGCCTGGCCACCTGGCTCTGCTGCAGAAGGCACTTGTGCCGGGCTGGGAGCGCAGAGGAGCGTGCAGGTGTATCTTCCAGCTGCTCTGGGGGGGTTTGCACTGTAGCTCTCACTGATCTGAGTGTGCTGTTGTACATGTGTCATCTTTGGAAGTTACATTTTGACAAGCTGCCTGTCAAGTGATTGTTCTAAAGTCAGCAAAAGAAAGACAGAATCTCTCTCTTGCCTGCAATTTTTGTGAGTCCTGTTAGCTGAGCTTCTCTCTGCAGCCCTTGCTGTGCTCTGTAACAAGGCAGGGTGGTTTCACAGTTCAAGAGTCGAGGCTTTGGCACAGAATTCCCATGGAACATTTGGGAAATCCTTCATCTTATAAAGTACTTAGGACAACACTCTGCCTCACTGGGACCCTCAAGTGGCAAAGTCTAGGCAGGTACCTGGGTACCTAGATGAGGTGAGCGAATAGAACTTTATTTCAGTGCTCTTTGAGTAAAATAATGAAGATCTCTGTTCTGCCTTTGGCCTTGGTGCTGCAAAAATGAGCATATACTCTTTGTTTTGCACTCTGTTGTCAGTGACACAATGACTGTGCTCTGCTCATGATAAAACAAGAAGATAGTGACAGGATTGGGAAATTAGACTTAGGGCAAGGATACATCCCATGGTGTGTTTTTGTTGTTCTTAACACCCTAGCATTCTCAGCTCAATTAGGTGCCTCACTTCACCATTAATAAACACATCATAGAAAAAATAACATCCACACTGTTATGTTGGGCACTCCCGAATACTTAAAATCTTCCACAATATATGAATATTAATAGAATCCATTTGTAAAGGTTTTAGAAATTAAGTACAGTGAAGCTATACCAGAGTCCATTACAAATTATTTTGGAAATTGATTATATTTTATATAAATTAATTTCCTTTCCACATGCATTCATCCACCCCCCTCCCAGTAATTTGTATCGTATATTACTTCATGGCATATTTTAAGAATGAGGCAATCTAGCAAAGGGGTGTAATTAGGTTTACAGGCCCTGCTTTGGCAGCTGATGTTGACTGGCAAAAGAAAATAGAAATGCAAATCAGGCCTGTAGAGTTCTAATGCAGATGTGTTATCATCAGTGCTGTGCAAGCTGCAGGAGTGGAGTGAGCCTGGCTTGGGGCAGCAGCAGCCTGGGGCAGCCTGCAGGTCATGCACAGGGACTGTGCTAATGGGAGAAAGAGGCTTTTAGTGCATTCACCTTTCCTTCTTCATCAGACAAAACCTGTTGAAGTGATGTATAGGTGTAACTGCTTACAAAGCAGGTTATCTCACATACAGTGCTGTTCCTTGTGCTTTTCCTGACTGTTTTGGGTTTGGAAAATGGCAAAAATTATCTGCATGCAAGCCAAGGCTATGGTCTGGCTTTTGAGCTTCAAATCAGCAGGGCAAAATCTGTGTTGAATACCCACTGGGCACACTGCCACATACAGAGTGAATATACAGAGTAAATTCAGTATCTGTAACCCCACACTCCACTGCCACATGCTGTGCTGCCCTCCCTGCCATCACTTCCCTGCAGTGGGACACCACTGTGCAGGACATGTTGTCCCTGCTGCAGGCATCAGGGAGCAGCTGCCAGCTCCAGCAGTGTGCACCAGGGTGGCACAGCAGTGAGGTGTGACTGCTCCTGCAGTGTGGGACAGCAGTGCAGGTGTGACTGCTCCAACAGTGTGCACCAGGGTGGGACAGCAGTGCAGGTGCTGACAGGCTGGTGTGACTGAGAGCTGGCCCTCAGGTCATGTAAGTGGTTCTGTGGACACCAAATTGCATCAAGTGTCCTAGCAGGATGGTTAAAGCTGTACAGGAGAGTTTTCTGTGTGGAAGAAATGGGGTGTTTCTGTTGCCTCTGTTGTAGCCTTTCAGCGTGTAACAGGAATGGTCACCTACCAGTTAAACATAGCCAATAAATTATGCTGATGAGCACATTGTTAAATAGAGCTGAAGATTTATTTAGAAGTTTCTGATTAGTTTCAAGGAGAGGAAATGTCATTTCCCTGGCTAGGACATTAACTATGACTAGACATTCTCTTCATGTAAAATATGAGCAAGAAGAGGTGGCTGCTGTGAGCTCTGACCAAAATTTTCCAACAAACTGGTATTACTTTTTTCTGATTCTGGCTTAGAATAATCTGCCAGAGCGAGGCCATGAGGTCTTTGTGTGGAAGTACTTCTGCAGAGCAGTAATTGGCATCTGTCTTGGCTGAGAGGAGTCTGGCCTTGTCCTACTATTATAACTTTGCAGAGGTTCAAGGAAAGAAAGTGAACACACACCCCTTCTCATGTCCTCTTCAGCTTAAGACTTGTGAACACCCTTTAAAAGGGGGTATGAAAAGGATGAGTTTTCCTGGTTTTCCCTGAATGTTAGTTTTTAAGGGACAGGGCATTTCATTGGCACACATCAGTTGTTGGTGTCTGCCCTGGTATGGAACTGGCTGAGATTTCCTTCCTGTCCCAGGAGAGAGGTGCAGTTCCTTGCAATGACCCCTTCTTCACATTCTCAGTTTGAGACATGGCTGATAAGGGGGGAACAATCAGTAAAATACTGAGAAGAGTTCCTAATTTTAAAACTCCTTTTTTTCTATTCCTTGTTCTCCAAAATAACTTCTTCATTTTTGCTTCCACTGAGACCTACAGGGTGTACAGAAAAAAACACCAGTATGTATTTACTGCTGTGTCACTAGAACGCTGGCAAACCTTTGTGAAGCAAACCTTATTCAGGTGTCAATATCTAGCTCACCTGAAGGAAAAAATATCATTTTTCAAAGTTACAGGTCAGGTATGGTCTCCCAAAACATAATGTTAGACACTGCCAGACTTGCATTTCTTGAAGCTTTGGACTGCCTAAAATGTACATCCTCATTATTTTTTATGAAAAGCATTTTTCTTCAGGCTTTCACATTCATATGTTCACATTTGGAGTTAAACTGTAACTTTTCATCCTGTAAGCATCTAATGAAAAGACTGCCACCCATTCCCAAAGGGACCATGATCTGGAATGGAATGACCTATAATGGAAATCACTCTTTGAGCTAAAAACCAAATTCTAATAAAGTATAGGAGAGAATAAAGTATTGGAGAGAAAAATCTGGTATTGTGCCACAGTCCTTAATTCTGCAAGACTTGGTTCTGGCCTCCACAACAGCAGAAAGTAAAATGTTTGGGAGAACCAGCTAATTAAAATGTGTATGGGGTAGGGAAGCGACTAAATCAATGCTGATTGGCTTTGAAAACATCTCAGAAAGGAAAAATATATCAGATTAAGTTTTTCCCAGTTAGCACTTCTGTCATAAACAGTCCACACTCCTTTTCCCTTTAGCAGTAACCCATGCTGTTAAGAAGACTTCACAGTGGCTGATGTTGAGAAGGGTCATATAAAACCCTTTTTTTGTGTCCCAATACCAGTATTTCCTTCTCTCCACCCTCCAGACAGGGGTTTCAGTTAGTTGATGTCTGATGAGGTGTGTTACAGTGGGGACAAGCAGAGCCCATCAGTGTGCTGGCAGCGTGCTGCAGTGCCATCTGGAAGGCAGTGATTGAAGGGCAGGCACCATCCCTGGGCCACAGTCAGCAAATGCTTGGAGTGAGGACACTGATGATACTCCTGCTTTGTGGAGAAGAGAGCAAAGGCTTTTCCTGGCCTGAAAATGCCCCATCCCATTAGCTGATTCTCTGTTGGTATTTGTGGGGAGAGTCTCCCACATTGTCAGGAGAGCTAGGATGGCCCTGGACAGCATGCTGAGGTGAGGGCAGTGGATTTGCCCCTGTGGGTGGAAAATGAGTTATTTAGCAGAGTGCAGCTGTGTGAAGTCAGCAGGCTGAGGTTTGCCATCCTGCACTTGATGGAGAGTGCTGGCATTGCTCCAACAGTGCAGGGCAGATCCTGGTGATCCCCTTCAGGGCATGAGTGAGGCAACACATTCTGCACACACACACACAGAGCTATGTGCATGGTGGATTAGGCTTAGCTGGATGCAAGGAGTTGGTTGAGTTCATGACATTTTTTCCTTTGAAACCATAGCAACCACCAAAACCCAAATACTGGAACTAGAATTGAAATGCATTTCTCGTAATAAACACCTTTCTCTTTCCCCAGACTTAAGCCAAAAGTCATTTAAAAGGAAAAGATCAATCATAAATTGGGCTTTTTGGCGTGGCCCAGGCACTCACTTGGACAATGCACCCCTCTCCTCAACATCTGCTGTTCCTGGGAAACTCTTTGGCCTCTTACTAACAACCATCTGTGAGGATGACAACCTGCCCAGACCCCTCTTGGTGAGTCCCAGGCTCAGGGTTGGGTCTTACAGTGGTGGAATTTCTCTTTGTGGTAAATGAGGGTATGTTTGTAAATGGGACATTGAAATTACCCAAGCAAAGAAACCAGAAAGGTTTCCATAGGGAAACCTCATTTGTGAGTCCCAGCAAGAACTTTGGTTTTGAACATATTCTGTGGTCAGGCCCAGTTAACAGCAGCTTGAGAAATGCATGTGATCAGTCTGCTGCTCTGGGCTATTTCTCCTTTATAGCCCATGCTATAAGGCTGGTTCCCTAATCCTCACTCACACAGTATAAATAAATGCCACATTCACACATAGTTTATAAACCACTCCCAAGATCTCTGTAAAATCCCCACATCCATAAATGTCTCATCCACTGTCCCATATAGGTAGCCCACGCATGCATAAAATGCCACCTGCCCATAACTAGGCAATTTCAGAGCCTTTCTTGAAGTCATTCCAGGGCAGGCAAGCGTCCTGAATCCTCATTTTTGGTCTGACAGCACCCCTGCAAAAAATAGGTGGCAGTGTGGAGGCTACAGTATCATCTTTTCATCCTGCCTTGAGGGAGCTCTGGTGCTGTGGGTGCTCTCAAAACCAGCCTAGGAGCATGAAAAAGGTTGTCCTAGAGCCCATTCCTAGGCATAACTAAGGCATGTATGTGGCATTTTTGGTCATTAGAATGCCCTGTTGTCAGTACAGCAGATGAAGTAGTTACAAAGTGGGAATGAGGGCCCTTCATCCTAGCAGCCTGACTTCTGGCTAGAAGAAATTGCCAGAACCCCACTGAAATCAGTGGGGTCACACCAGTTTACAAGAGGAGGTGTTCTGTCTCCTAAGCTGGTGCTCGATGTGCTGCTTTATCACTGCCTGTATAGTGAATCATACCATGTTTCAGGTCTTTTAATAGTGTTTTCTTTTGAAGAAGTATGCATTTTTATTATTTAGGTTATTTAAATAAGTCCTCCAGAGATGGACTCTGTGTGGCTGTGATCACCTGATCTCTCCTTCTCTCTGTTTAAGAAATGAGCCAATGCTGCATTTCAGAAATTTCTCCAACACATAAATAATAGTAAATTTTTATTTGAAAAAAATCCCCAAAGTTACTAAGCATAGAACCACAGCTTGGTAGACTTCGTGCTTTTGAATTTTAAACATTGTGTTTATACCACAAAATAGAACTTCTGAATTCATGCAGCATCTCTGGAGAATAGAATACTGGGGAACTGAATGGGATTTACTTGCAAGAGAAAAAATAGCAGCATTCATCCTGCAGGCATGCTGGATAACTGCTTCAGAGCTTGCAGCTTGCTTTCACAGCTGAAGGACTCTCTTTTAGTCATTGTCACACTGAATTGTCTTGCACCATGGCTTCATTCATGCAATTGCATCTGGGTTTGTTAGTTTAATAGGGGCTTCCCATTTTTATCTTGTGCATATTTTGTTCAAAATGTATTTTGAAAGGGTTTGTTCATGTGCTAACACCCTGTGCTGTGGGACTCAGCTTGTTTTGATGGGAGAGCTATAAATTCCTGCAAAGAGAATGAAAATGCTGACTTGAGTCCTGCTGCCATGAAGGTGCTCCTCCAAAGTATCTACACTTCCATTAATTCTTGATCTTGGACTTCTGCAAGAGTGAGAAAGAAACATGAAAGAGTAAAAGCAGAAGTAATAGCTTCCATTAGAGTTACTTGCTCTGCTGTGTGACAGGAGAACCTACCTTACAGCCCAGACTAGAAAAGTCCCCAAACTCCATTCCTTATCTATTGCTGTTCACTAGCTCAGTTTAATGATGATGGACCAGTGTCCCAGGACCCCCCCTTGGTGTCCCTTCTCTTGCCATCATTTTTGATAACTTGGTCCTCAGGCCGCTGTGTGCATACAGATAATCCCAGGGTCTGTCTGCATGTGTTTCCCCTTTCAGAGGGATAACCCTGACAGATTCTCCATGGCATGGAGCCGGTCTGCAAGAGTTCACCTGCATGTCTGAGAGATGGCCCTCAGGAGACTGCAGAAAACTAAGCATCAAAATAAGCATCTGGCAAATATCCTGAACTTGTTATCTCTGGAGAAATTTCTGTATTTCTTTTTCTCCTTGTTTTCCTCTTATTATTTAACAGAAAATATCAGTCCCTCCTGTTATTTTAAAAACTAGGCAGGAATCTGTTTGTTTTCCCTTCTCTGTAATAAGCTGTCTACTTGTTTAATCCTGTGCAGCCTCACTGGCTTCAGGGGAGCCACAAGCTGAGCTTTGTCCCCCTTGGAGTGACCTCCCAGGCAGGAGCACCTTGCCTCAGAGCTGGTTCTGCTGGCAGCCCTGAGCTGCTTGCAGAGTCTGATACTGCTCACAAGCAGCAAAGGGGTAAAAACCTGACTCTGATCTGCTGTAGAAGTGCAGATATGTATTAACAAACAAAGCACTTTCTAGTTTAGATAAAAATCTCTTTTTTTTCAGATATCAGCAGTAAAACAGAATTCTATCTGTGGTTGGTGATAATGTTAACTACAGTGATGAGCAGTGAGGGTCTCACACTTTTCTGCAAAGCAGTGTCTGACTGAGGCCACTGTCAAATGCAAAGCTTTGAATTAGATAGACCACTCTCCTTTTCCCATACCACAGCATTTATATGTTTAAATGACTTGACTGAAACTTGCACAGGTCCTGGAAGGTCATGAAGAAAGTTAGTGCTCAGCAGTGCCAGCACAGTATTTCTGAGGGGATGTTTCCCAAAATGAGATCTCTAAATCACAGCTTTGCTGTGCAATTTGGCAAGATCTGGAGAGTGAGCCTAGATTGTGTTTGATTTCTGATATGTTTTAGGATGAAAAGGTTTTCATCTGTGGCAAAAATGGCAAAACTACATTTTAGTGGCACTGGACAATAAAATATATTTATGGGAAATCCTCTTGGCCTTTTAAATTTTTTTAGGACATGCTTTTCCTCCTTTACCAAGAGGGGCCTTCCACTAAGGGTATTTTCAGACGCTCTGGAAGTGCAAAAACATTCAAAGAGCTAAAGGAGAAGCTTGATTCAGGCGCTGAAGTGGACCTGGCCCGTGAATCCATATTTGTGACAGCATCTTTGTTTAAGGTATGTGAAGATTGTTCCTGTCTCTCTTTTTGGGTGAGAGCAGCACAGATCCTGTGCTCAGCCAGGGAGGGCTTTTCTCCAGGGACAGGTCCAAAGAAGAATGAATTAACAAGAACGGGTGGCACATTAACCTTGTGAGGATCTCCACAGGAGGCTACCACTGAATTAGCATGAGGAAGAGGAGTAGCCAGCTTATTTTGCTGACAGCTTTCCTGGTCTGTGCTACAGCATGGTCCTGTTACCCTCTGCATATGAAATACTAAAAGGCATGTTTGCAGACCTGTCTCCTTACACATCAGTACTACCCTACACTGCAGATCCTAGTGAGTTTATAGTGTTGCCATAAGTATTTTGATTATTTTCTCCATGCATTGTACAGTCTTGTATGTCAAAACCAATGTTCCTTGTGCAAAAAAAGCATCATAGCTTCCCTCAGCCTAACTATTTTGGGAAGCTAGGATTTGGCCTTCTTCCTAAACTGCAACAATTTCCATGCTCACGGTTGAAGTGTTAGGAAAGAGGAATAAAAGGACAATCAATGATTAGTTTAAGTACTCCATTGATTAGAGGAAGGAAGGTAGTGATGCCTTGGAGTGCTTATGGTTGGGAGGTATTTGAGCTTGTCAGCTGAGGAGAAGAAACAGGCATTACAGATGAAGTGAAGTGATAAGACAGACATTAAGCAACATCAAAATTACTTGTCTCACTGCAGATTTTTTAGTTCAGCAATATCAGATGAAGTGTTCAAATACCTCTGTTTTGACAGGAAAAGGGAGAGAAAGGCTGGAAAATAATCACTTTAAGCATAATCTAAAGTGCCTCTATCTCAGGTGATTTTCTTCTGGTTTTGGTGGTTGTGTGTAACAATATACTTGCCAGCAAGTGCTGTCCTATTGATACATCCTCTTGTATCTGTGTATCTTATTCCTACTCCCTCACATGCCCCAGAACAGCTGCTCACGTGTTTTTTTCTTTTCTCTTGATAAGGATTTTCTTCGCAACATCCCAGGCAGTATTTTATCATCCCAGCTGTGTGATAAGTGGGTCTCTGTGCTGGATCAAGGAAATAATGAAGAGAAGATAAAAAGCATCCAAAGGTGGTTATTTATATTCTCTACATTCTTTTCCTACAAATGCATATCCCAGAATGCAGAATCACAAATATTCAACTTACAATTTTTTTTTCAACAAGAACATCTCTTTGACGTTCTCCCTGATTTAATTAGTGGACCATATTACCCTGTTCCTGCATTTCCATTATCTTGACTTGTGTATATCTATGGAAAGGGGTCACTAATGTGAAGAATTCTGTTTTTATATGTTTTCAGGTTACTAGAGCATCTCCCCAGAGCTAATCTTGTTCTCCTGCGTTACATCTTTGGAGTGCTGCATGGGATAGAAATGCGGTCTGAAGAGAACCAGATGAATGCCTTTAATCTGGCTGTCTGCATTGCACCTAGCCTGCTCTGGCCTCCTGTATCCTCCACTCCTGATATAGAAAGTGAATTTATTAAAAAGGTGAGAAACACTTCGGTGTAGCAGAAAACCCAACCAACCTTCATCCCATTCAACCAGGCTGTTGGTTGCAAACATGAGAATGCTCGGTACCTCTTCAAATCAGAACTTGTCCTCTTATCGGGGCTCCAGAAACATTCATCAGTCCATTCTCATAACCTTCCTGGGAGAGGGAGAGAGAGGTCATAAAGCAATGCCCAGTGTGTCAGCAAAATGCTTCTCTCTTCAAGAGGATCTATGGTTGTGGTGACCTCTGAACAGGACAGAGTAGAATGAAAAAGATGTTTACAAGGATGTTTACCAGGACAGTTTATTGGGTCCAGGAGACTGAGAGAGTAACTCCTGGCTGCCTTCATGGATGACAGTTTGCTCCTGTTCCTCATCTGTATGGTGAACTTGTCCTGAGTTGAGAATAGAAGATCTGACATCTCTCTCCCATTGCTTTGTTGCAGATTTCTAGTCTGGTACAGTTCCTCATTGAGAATTGCTGCAGGATTTTTGGAGATGAAATTGCCTCCCTCTTTGGAGAAATACTGATGACATGCAAGAGAGAGAACAGCTCAGGTAATGCAGATTGATGTTTTGATCCTGTTAAGACAGATAAACTCAGCCAGAAAAAAGATTGGTAAATTCCATGGAAGAATGCTGTTCCCTCTTCATGGGGTGTTCCCAAATATTGCTGTTCTCTTTCCATTCAGTTCCTCAAAGAATTGGTCATAATCACTGATTCAATTTACCATAGACCTGGATCATGTCACAAAATGCTTTCACAAAGACTCTTGTTCCTATACCGGTCATCTGAACCACTACAGTTAAAAAAGGAGGGAGGGGAAACAAAGAAAATAAAAAATAATTAGTGAAGGTTTCCTCTAAAATCTAGAATTTTTGCATCAGCCTTTGTCTTCCCAAAATATCAGGAGTGATCAACAGTGGTCATAATACAGCTTTCCACCATTACACTAGGGTTGAAAGTGTGTGTTCAATATCAAAAGAGAGAGATCTCCAGAGTTTCAATGGGACATCCAGATTTTGCTGCTACCACAGAAAAATCATGGAACTGGTGACTGAAAGTGTTTGGCAGACTAGTTGACAGAGCTTTCCAGATTATCATTAATGCTTTTTTTTCTCCAACCTCTGATTTTGACTGGAGTTTTGTATCTCTCCTTAAAGTATTTCTAAAGCAGCATTTTTGTAAAATGAATTTTGTCACAGGAGGCCTGTACTGAAAGTGGTAATAGCACTTGTGTCAGGCATGTCTGACTGACTGTGTGTGGCTGTTTCAAACTCCTGATGCTCTCCCTCCAGAGAGATTGGGTGAAATTTGGCCTGCCCCCTTCCCAGGAGTGAAGCACATGGGGTCTGCAGTGCTGGGATGTGCTGGCAGTGAGAGCTCAGACCCACAACAGCAGGGTCACAGAAACTGAATGAGCTTTCAGGCGGGCACTGAGACATGGTGACTGCCCATGCATGAACTGTGTCTGCTGCAAATGTGAGATAAGACAGCTTAGCCTAACCCAGAGCAAAAGAAATTTAATGTAATTCCAATTATTGCAGGTGCAGGATAGGGTCCAGGTGTGCACTGCTCAGTGCAAATGAGGTGGCTGTTTAAGCTGAGCCTAAAGCTTCACAGTGTTGCTCTTAAAAATATTGTGTTTTCTGGAAGAAGTAGAGGTAAGAAGTATATACCCTGTTCTCTTCATTTGTCTAAAAGAAGGATAGGAAGATTAAATGTTGCTTTCAATGTCCAATAATGAATAGAAAAAATAAATAAATTACCAATATATGTATACCATATATGTATCTATGTATATAAATTATTGTTCACAGCTGGATTAGCTACTATCCATTTAAAAAAACTAAACCAAAGCAAAATCACAACAAAATCCCCCCCAACCCTTCTCTGTGCCATTATCTTGTATTTCTTGACTGAATAGTAGCTTAGTACTCACTTTAGCTTCTCCAGTTCAAAATTAAGGGAGCAATTTTTTATTAAATTCTTAGTACTTTTACTTGAAGAATCTTTAAAGGGCAAATGCCCCCGAAAGTAAAGGATACTTGCCAGCAAAAAAAAAAAAAAAAAAAGCAAAAAAAAAAAAAAAGCTGCTTGTCAAGAGGGCGGTTCAGTCACTGATGTGTTAACACGTGGTTTGTCCTTGCAGATGTTGCTTCTCTCCATCAGAACGACTCTTCCTATGACAGCCTGGAAAATGAGGCAAATGATGAAGCTGACTCTTCCTCCAGTGACTGGATTAAAACCTGTGATCAGGATTACAGAAGCAGGGAGTCTGTCTTCACTCTGAGCGACGGCGATTCGGAGCAGACAGAGGTGGACGAAATCCAAAGCCAAACCAAGCTGAAGCAGTTGGAAATTTCTGACGACGCGCACCCGAAGTTTTCCTTGCAAGACAACTCAAGCAAGTCTCCCTACTCCAGTGGTTTCCCCCCGGAAGCTGCCTCGGGTGCTCCCAAGGCTGTGCGGAGGCAGCGGCGCTCCTCCGAGCCCGCGGTTGGCCTGCAGGGCCGCGGTTCCGGCCGCGCCGAGGACGCCGGGCCACGCGAGAGGGCCACGCGCAAAGCCAGCTGTGACGTGGTCCTGCCTCACGGAGATGAGGAGTGTCTCTGCCAGCGCCGGTCGCTTCAGGTGGAGGGGCAAAAGCTCGGCAATCAGAGCTTGCTTGTAGGGATTGATGTCAGTAGAAGTGACAACACAAACAAAAACGTTGAAAGGAAAGACCTGTCTCATTGTCTCCTGCCTCCAACGCCAGAGGGATTAAATACTTGCTCAGGATTTAGCTCTTTCAGCCAGTCTTCTTCTGGGACATCTCCATCTGTGTCGTCAATTTGCTCCCTGGACAGTGCTTTCTCCCAGTTTTCAGACCAGGCTCTGTTTACCTTCAGTGAAACCTCCTCCCCTTTCGACAGCACTTTCCAGTTGCTAAAGAAACACGAGGACGCTGCTGCTGCTGCTGCTGTGGCTGATGACTGTTTCCTTCCATCCACCACAGTGCCACCATCTCCACAACCTACTGACACTGGGGCTGAGAGGGGCTTGGTGGGGCCCAGCAGCAGGTCAGCACCCCTGAAACCTACTGATGGAGGCCATGGCTGTTGCATTAAGCCTGACCTTCAGCCATTGCCTCTGAAAGTCACTGGGAGAGACGGACTTCATGAGCAAAGAGGTGGTCTAGAAAAGCATTACAGCAATCCAAAGTTTGAAGAGACTGACCAAAGCTTTTTGCAGAGGAATTTTAATGCATAAAATAAACACCATAAAGAAAATGCCTTTGGTGTTGATGTGTGTTCATTTTAAGTTTAACATCCAGATTGTTCAAATTTAATTGAGCAGTCCCCGAACTCACAGGTTTTCTTTTTTTAGGAAACTGAGTAATGTTCCAATATGAAGCTTTGTGGGAACATTGCAGGAATAATAAAAATTGCTGAAAAGCAAGCAAACAAATCTCCTGAAAATCTGGAAGGGACCCAGGAGGTAACTAAGGCCAGTGTCCTGTTCCCTGACCCTGCGAGGGCAGCGGGCTGCCTGCTGGGCCTCTGTCCTTGAGCACTCGAGTGTTGAGCCTTGCAGATGTGAGTCCCAGTCCTTTGTGCTTTTGATGTAGCGTGCAAAGTCAGCATAGCTTCCATAACTGTGGTACTATACTACTGTTCTGAAACTGATAAATATGACCTTCATTGTCCTCCAAGGAGTGTGTTGTTTTCTGTATGTTTATACAGTACGTTCAATAGGTGTAGTTATTTCTTTTACGCTGCAAAAGAAAGAAAAAAGTAAGCCCAAAAATATGTAAAGGGAAATGCTGAATCTTGTAACTAACACCTTGCAACTCTGTGTTTCATTTATTGTGCTTTGTTGGCTGTTCTGTTCATGTTTAAGTTGTGAATAGTTTCTTAACATTGCTGTAAATGGCATTATGTATTATTGCAAGCAGAACACATGTAATTTTATTATGCAACATCTAAAATATAAAACCACAGAATGGATGGGGTTGGAAAGATCATCCAGCTCCAACCTCCTGCCATAGAGACAGGAATACCTCCCACTAGACCAGGTTGCTCAGAGCCCCATCCAACCCAGACTTGAATACTTCCAGGGATGGGGAATCCATAACTTCTTGAGGCAACCTGTTCTAGTGCTTCACCACTCTCTGAGAAGAATTTCTTCCTAATCTAATCCTGCTCTCTTTTAGTTTAAAACCTTGCCCCTTGTCCTGCTGCTATCTGCCCGTATAAAAAGTCACCTCCCTTCTTTTTGTAAGCCCCCTTAAGATAATGGAAGGCCTAAGTGAGGTCTACCTGAAGCCTCCTCTTCTCCAGGCTTAACAATCCCAACTCTCAACATTTCCTTACAGAGGAGATTTTTCCATTCCTCTAATGTTCTTTATGGTCCTTCTCTGTACCAACTCCAGCAGGTCCCTGTCCTCCCTGTGCTGGTGCCCCAGAGCTGATGCAGCCCTGCAGGTGGCTCTGAGCAGAGCAGAGGGGCAGAATCCCCTCCCTGGCCCTGCTGCCCACACTGGATGCAGCCCAGGACACGTTTGGCTCTCTGGGCTGTGGGAGCACACTGACAGCTCATGGCCAGCCTCTCATCCTCCAGCACCCCCAGGTCCTTCTCAGCAGGGCTGCTCTCAGTGAGTTCCTCTCCCAGTCTGTATCTGTATCTGGGCTTGCCCTGACCCAGGGCAAGGTGCAGCACCTTGTACTTAGACTTGTTGAACCTCCTGAGGTTCTCACGGGCCCACTTCTCAAGTTTGTCCAGGTCCCTCTGGGTGACATCCTGTCCTGTTGTATCAGCTGCACCTCTTGGCATCCTGTCACCTACCAACCTGCCGAGGGTGTGCTCAGTCTCACTGTCTGTGTCCGACATCATATAATGTATTGGAGTAATGCATTATCTAAATGCTTTGAGTTTGTATAATATATCCTGTTAAATTTTGCTATTATATATGTTCTGAAAAAAATGTGTATTTTTGTACTTGCAAAAAACTGCTGCTAATTTTACAAGTTCTGTTTTGTTGTTACGGCACTGGTATTGATGTGTATGCATTCAATGCTCTATATTAAATATTATTTGTTATGTCATAAATTCAGTTTATATTCCGTGGATTTTTTTTATGTGTCAGTTCTACAAGCTATTGCTGAAGCAGAATTCCCAATGATAGCACTGCAAATCTTGTGTGAGAAAGGACTGAAGCATTTTTTTTCTACTTTGGGTGGCATTATTCCCACTGCATGTCATCATCCTGTTGATTTTTGTAAATTCTAGTAATTCTCAAGCAAGAATTCCTACTCTTTCTCTTCATCTAGTGGTAGGAGGATATTTTCAGCTAATGGGATTCAGTCAACAATATCGAAGTGAACAGAGATCTCATGGGATAATACCTATTAGGATTGGGAACAAGGAAAGGAGGGGAGCAAACCAATGAATGAGAGCAAGATTTATTCTTTAATATTAGCTGGTTCTTCTTTTTCATATTCAGCTGTTTTAATGAAAACAGTAGTGTGCAGAATCTGATCTGTAACAGTCACCTTCCAAAGGTAAAATACTTGGTATGCATTTTGAGACCTGTCATCTAACAGCCCTACATATACACCTCCTTCAAAACAAACAAAGGAAAGGCTGATTGATGTGATGCTATTTTGAAATAAAACAGCTACTCTGCATTTCCATTTCTTTTCAAAACAGTAAAAAGCGTATTGCCATGCTGCCAAGATTACATTGAGTAGCAAATACTGATTCATTGCATCAATAATAAAGCTTTAGAAAATCTCTAGTCTCTGCAACATAAATTTTCTGTCCTGCAAATGGTGTCTTCCTACAAGTCATTTATCCCTGCTGTCTGAAGAAAGAGTATATCAAAGTACGCTTCCATGTAAAGTGAGTTATGTGTCTCCTTTTGAGCTGTAGCTAATGCTGGAGTGATTTCAGCTTTAAATGTATGGCAGACAAGCTGGATGTAGACCCAGCACAATTTGAAATGCACTCTCACAAGACATACACCTGCTGCTGCACGAGGCGTGTTCTGGGACAATCACAAAAAGAGCACTAATGGGGAAAATCACTGTCTGCAGCACCCCTGGGCTGGGAGCACACAGTGAAGGAATTAAATGCTGCTCAGACCCAAAATGGATCGTACTGAACCTTTTTAGAATGTCAGATGCAGCTCTGAGCACTGCAGTAAGCATCCCCCTGGCTCTGCTGTGGGTCTCCTCCATGGGCCTCCTCCATGGGCTGCAGGGGGATCTGGGCATCCCCATGCATCTCCGTGGGCTGCAGAGGGATCTGTGCATCACCATGGTGTGCTCCAAGGGCTGCAGGGGGATCTGGGCATCCCCATGGGCTGCAGGGGGATCTGGGCATCCCCATGCATCTCCCTGGTCTGCAGGGGCACAGCTGCCTCCCCATGGTCTGCTCCAGGCGCTGCAGGGGAATCACAGCTCTGGTACCTGGAGCACCTCCTGCCCCTCCTCTGCATGGAGCTGGGTGCCTGCAGAGCCATCCCTTTCACATATTCTCACTCCTCTCTCCAGCTGCCATTGTGCATTTTTTGGCCTTTCTTTAACTCTGTTATTCATGCTGCTGGGCTCAGCCATGACCAGCAGTGGGACCATCTTGGAGCAGACTGGCTTTGGCTCTGTTGGAGACAGGGAAGCTTCTGACAGCATCTCCCACACACACACACATATCCCCCCACACCCCGCCCACACACACATTCGTCTGTAGCCCCCCCAGTGCCAAAACTCTGCCGTGTACATCCAATACATTCTGTGAGAAGGTGGTGGGCTAGAGGTGGCCCCGAGCACTGAGCCCCCTCTCCTGCCCCGGCTCTAGCTGAGTGTCCCCCACACATCCTCACACTGTGGGTCACCTGTCTCCATAAACTCCATGTAAGCTTGTCTCCATAAACTAGGGTGGCTGCTTTGGAGGAGCTGCTCAAATTCTCATTTACTTCTCATTTACTGCTGTCAAACACAGAAAAGGAAGCAAACTGACAAATTACCTTCCTATTTGGACTTTCTGTCCCACAGGGGTTAATGTTCTCATTGTTAGTGAGCATCCTGCCTCTGTTTCACAAGTGCTAGCCCTCATTCTTTGGAGGTAATTTCAGAGATTACTATAATGTAAATTTAGAGCAAATTGTTCTCAGCCTTCTTTAAAGGTTTTTTGATTTTGATTTTTTTTTTTGTTTGGTGGTTTTTTGGGTTTTTTTGGTGGGCTCTTCAATTCTTCTTCACCAATCTCATAAATGCTATTGCTTAATCCCTGCAAATTTTATCTCTCTAGCACAGCCCAATTCAGGAAGCAAGAAGACATGTACCATCTAATCCTTGTCTAAACAAGTTTGTAGAGTTGCAGCAAAATGGATAATAGATCCAGGAAATGAAGCATGACCTTTAAACTGAAGGTGTCTCTCTATCCAAAACTCCAAATCACTGGATTTCTGTTAATAGCTGCTGTTTCACACCCCTTTTTTATTCTGTGGGCTTATGTTGTCCCAGGACCTGGTAGTTGACATCTCATTTCCAGATATGATCTACTCTATGATACTGGGCAAATTTGTTTGCTTCCTCTGCTGCCTGTTTTGCACCACTTGTCTTTTCTCTGAGTATCCTGGTGTGCTGAGTCATGGTGGTGGTTGGTGTTTCCTCCCATCCTAAATATAGTTGTTCACCCAGACACGGGGGGCTGGGAGGTGGCTGCTGCTTTTGGGGACCACATGCAGAAGTGCAACCACACACATATGCACACGGTGAGGCTGCCATAACCCGTGCAAACAGATTTGTTTCATGTCTTGCAGATGAGCCTGTGCATCTACAAAACACCCCAAACAATCTCACTGAGTTGGGCCTATCAACCTCCTCTCATTTTTATCCATGAAAACACTGGGGAATGGAGGAGTTCAGGCTGCAAGGGGCCTTGGGAGATGCCTGGTTCAATCTCTTGCTTGCACATCCGTGTATAATCATAGAATTATAGAGTTGTTTAGGTTGAAAAAACCTTTAAGATCATCATGTCCACTGCCAAACCATGTCCTAAGCACCACATCTACACACCTTTTATGTACTTCCAGGGATGGACTCCAACCCTTTCCTGGACAGCCTACTTCAGTTCTTGACAGCCCTTTATGTTTTCCTAAAAAACATAAAGGGTCTAAAACTCTCCTGGTGCAACCTGATGCCATTTTCTCTTGTCCTATTTTTATTTGAGGGAAGAAGCTGAGCCCCACCTGGCTGCACCCTCCCTTCAGGCAGCTGCAGAGAGTGATGAGGGCCCCCTGAGCCTCCTTCTCTCCAGGCTGAACACCCCCAGCTCCCTCAGCTGCCCCTCACAGCACTTGTGCTCCAGAGCCTTCCCCAGCTCCGTTGCCCTTCCCTGGACACGCTCCAGCCCCTCAATGTCTCTCTGGCACTGAGGGGCCCAGAACTGAGCACAGGATTGGAGCTGTGGCCTCAGCAGTGCTGGGTACAGGGGGACGGTCCCTGCCCTGCTCCTGCTGGCCACACCTGGCTGATCCAGGCCAGGATGCCATCGGCCTTCTGGGCCACCTGGGCACACTCTGGATCATGTTCAGCTGCTGTTTGCCAGCACCCCCAGGTCCTTTTCCACCAGGCAGCTTCCCAGACAGCTTTCCCCAGCCTGCAGCACTGCCCAGGGCTGTTGTCACCCCAGTGCAGGACCCAACCTTGGCCTTGCTGAACATCATGCAATTGGCCCTGGCCCTGTGGTCCAGCCTGTCCAGATCCCTCTGCAGAGCCTTCCTGCCCTCCAGTAAATCAACACTCCCACTCAACTTGGTGTTATCTGTGAATTTACTGAGGCAGGTCTCAATTCCTTCACCTAGATCATTGATAAAGATATCAAACAGAGCTAACTGCAAAACTGATCCCTGGGGAACATCACTTGTGACCGGCCACCTGTTGGATTTATATCTATTCCCCTCCACTCTCTGGCCCCACACATCCAGCCAGCAGAGTTCTCACTCAGCAGAG